TTATATTTTTATGGTTTGGAGCACAGCTTCTTCTCTCCAAGTGCCATTTGGTACAATATGGCACATTAGAAATGTTCAAATTAAATGCACAAAAAAAAAAAAAAATTGTATGAACAATGTAAAATAAAATCATTTAATTTAACCATGGTGTGTTTTGCAGAGGGTTAAAAGACATTAGGGCTGTCAAAATTAACAAGTTAATTGTGCGATTACTTTTTTTTTCCCAGTTTAACGTGTTGAAAATATTCAGTGCAATTGACGCAGCATCCTTTTTTTTTTTTCTGGCATTCTTTGACTAGCTAAATGTGGAATGGTTACAATTAATGGCTAAAATTGAGGGAAAATGCATTTAATACAGACATCAGTAGCAATATTGGTATCAGTGATAATGGCCTTCATGAATAATAGGGAACTTAGAAAAAAGATGCCATCAAACTTATTTAAAATACACCATCTTTGTTACTTCTGCATTAATTTGGAGATTCAATGTGAAATTATGACAATATAAATATATTATATGTGATTAATCTTGATTAATTACAGAAAAATGTGCCATTAATTAGTTTTTTATTTTTAATCGATTGATAGCTCTAGTGTAAATACACCTCCATTCAAAAGTTTGGGGTTGATAACATTTTTTAATGGTTTTGAAAAAAAGTATCTTATGCTCACCAAGGCTGCATTGGTTTGATCAAAAATACAGTAAAAAAAACTGTAATATTGTGAAATATTATTACAATTTTAAATAACTGTTTTCTATTTTAATATACTTTAAAATGCAATTTATGATGGCAAAGCTGAATATTCAGCATTATTACGCAAGTCTTCAGTGTCACATGATCCTTCAGAAATCATTCTAATATGCCAGTTAGGTGCCAAAAGAAATTTTTCAATGTTAAAAAGAGTTGTGCTGCTTAATATTTTTGTGGTAATGGCGATACATTTTTTCCAGGATACTTGATGAATAGACAGTTTAAGAACATTTATTTAAAATAGATTTTATCTCTAACAATTTAAAAGTCATTACTGTCATTTTTGATCAATTTAATGCATGCATGAATTAAGAATGCATCATTGCATCTTTGAATAGAAGTATTAAATTCTTTCTTTTGAACAGTAGTGTATATTTACAATGTTCATTCTTGCTGGTGTACATGCTCTTTCATACCCTCAATAGGGTCTGTGTATCACACTGCGGCAGCAGAGGTCATTGCACTGCCACACACACACACACACACACAAACAAACACTTTCATTACAGTTCATCAGAATCAGTGGTTTTATGTTAGCGACGAATTGCAGCTCCAAAATTTTTTCAACTTTTTTTTTTTGGATAGAAAATGTATGCAATGCTGTTTTTTGTTCAAAGTCAGCCTCTAAAAACAGAGCACATGTTCTCCCAGAGCAGATTGATTACGCAATTCACAACTTCAGCAGCAAGTGTATTAGTTTATCAGGGCCTGCAAAAACCGAACTTAATATATGGATGTGAACCTTAAAATATAAACTATATATTTCAGTATTATATATTCAGTATTTCTTGAATTAAAATGAATTGCTGCATAAAAAAAAACTAGTAAACTGTGACACCCTCTGTGCTGGTGTCATGTAAGATCAGAACTGTTGCATTGTATGCATCTTTCCAATTCATCAAAAGAGCTTTTCATAACCAGTTAGAGCTAAATCAGTAGACTAAGCTGTTTGCTTGTTTACAAAGAAAGGGAAATGTCATCCATACCGCGTAAGATGTTTGTGAGCAATGCTTGATGTTATCTGTCTTCTAGGTGGGAGGTTACACCATGCTGCCCATACGCTGGATGCCTCCGGAGAGCATCATGTACAGGAAGTTCTCCACAGAGAGCGATGTATGGAGCTTCGGAGTCATTATGTGGGAGATCTTCACCTATGGGAAACAGCCATGGTTTCAGTTATCTAATAATGAGGTAAATGTTCGCAAAAAGAGATGGAGCCATTGTTAGAACGTCAGTGTGAATATGACATTTTTAGAATGTGAGTGTGATCTCTGCAGGCGGGGTGTAATGCTGTCAGAGATCAGGTTAGCAGCTCACATCTCGCCACACACACACACACACACACACACACACACACACACACAGAGTTCGGTTGGAAAACCTTGTGATCTGTTTACTTGGACGGTATTTTTAGGCATCATATGTGCACTGACGTGAGCATTTAAAAAAGGAAGAAAAGGTCCAAAGACTGAATTGTATATTAAAAAAAAAAGTTCAAAGGCAGTTGTATATTCCTTTTTTGTGGATTTGTCAGTCCCATTTTGCATTATGACAAGCTCATATTGTCTCTCTATATATGTGTGTGTCGACAATTTGTTTTAATACGTTTGTTTTAGATATATTTCAATATAAAGTAATTATACCTTATACATTTAAATACTGTATACCTCTTATTTTAAAATGTAATATTTTATAATATTTTAATTTAATTTATAAAAAGAGTTCAGTCCAATTAAAAATAATTTTAACAAATAGAAAGTTTTATTAGAAATAATAAAAGATTAGAAATAACTTTTTTTTTTTACTGACCCCAAACTTTTGAATGGTAGTGTATTTGATAGTGGTAGTGTATAGTGTATTTGTAGTGTATAAAGAGTTTATTATGAGTGAATTATGGGAATGGGACAAACAGAGTCCAAATCTCACCATTATTTCAGCCAACGTTGCTGCATCAGACTGGTCAGGAAGCTCAAACAAATAGAGTCACAGTGTGCAACATTACTTACATTTGACTGAAATAGCATTAAAAAGTAAACACACTGCCTCTGAATCAATTGCACACATTTGCTCATTTCTGTCTCTCTCTATTTTGCAGGTCATTGAATGCATTACCCAAGGTCGGGTTCTAGACAGGCCTCGCCTGTGTCCTAAGGAGGTGTACGACCTCATGTTAGGCTGCTGGCAAAGAGAGCCGCAACAACGACTGAACATCAAAGACATTCAGAAAGTTCTTTACACTCTGGGAAAAGCCACGCCTGTCTACTTGGACATCCTCGGCTGAGACTGGAGCGACGTCTCTCAGCAGAATCCAACACAATCCAGGAATAACCAAACAAGCCCTTTTCCCCGCGTCGGCGCTCCACTGTAAAAACACCAACACGTCGGAGATGGACTTTAAGTGCCTGCAACACTTTTTTTCGATACACTGGGTATACATTAAAAAAAAGTAAAAAAATATTTAAAAACAAACTTTTACATTTTGTTTACTGGTACAGTATATAGTGTACGGAATTATTCTACAAAGACAAAAACATTTCCTAAAAAATGATGGCGAAAGCAGAATGTTGCCTTCACTAGGTTTGAGAAATTATGATTTTCAGTGTTTCATTTTATAAGCATATATACACACATATATGAATATATTTTTTTTTATTTAGTTTCATTTTGAAGGTAAAGTATGGGTGCCTGTCATGTTTAGTGCTGTTGATATATTATCTTTTCAAGACGGCTGCTCTTTGGTTCTGCTCTGCTTTAACAGCTGGGATTTTGTGAGGAAAGCCTTATTAGGTTTCGATTATTTTGCCGATGCTGTGGTCAGCATCTTTTTCTCTTATTTTTTTTTGTTTGTTTTGTTCCTGCAACTTTGATTTGATGATCTATAGCTCTTGAGCAGGCAACCTGGAACCTTTAGAATACTAAAGCGCTGATATATTTTCATCGTATTCATCGTATTGTATATACTGTAAATTTATATTCTTGTCAACCTGTTAACTTATTTTTTTTTAATGTGTTTTGATTTCTTTTTGGACACAAGAGTTATTTTGTGATGTACTCTTTAGAAAAGGGTCAGCCAGGAGAGAACATAAATATCACACAGTATCTTAAAATGAGCACTTGGCGGCTCATTATTAATACAGGGTGTCTCTAATATTGTTGGAGGGAAAACACATCACGGCCGAGTCCAGTCTGTAACCGTGCTGCCATAATTTTCCAATCTACAAAACAGAATGTGGTAAAACTAGAACTAAACTGCAGGTTCGATGTCACTGAGATCCTAAAATGACACCTGTTTGAATTAACGTTTCGCAATCTTCATAGCGTTTGATAAATATCAATGCCATCGCATCTAAAGTTAACAATTTCATGTTGTTGTCTGTAGCTAAACAGTTCTATGTTATTCCAGGGGCTGTTTCTCTGAGATGTTTGTTGATACGACACCAAATCTTTTTGACGTCAGGATTTCGCTGTCAACGGATTCTCTTGCCTCTTTGCAGTACCACAGATATTTGCAAACGACATATTAAAATGTATGTTTAGATTAAGTATTAAATAAATATCAGAACCTTGTCAAATCAAGTCTTTTCTGTTCATTGTGTTTAGGCCGTCCATTGTTGATAATGGCACTTCAAAGGTTTATAGCATAACCTAATTTTGACTCTAGCTGTAATGAAATTAACTGTGACGCCTGGATATGTCCCATCTTTTGAGGCAAAGTACAGTGAATTATAATAGTTTCTGGCCACATTAAGCATTTGAATATCAGCCCTATACACTAGTGCCTTGCTGGCTAGCAATTAACTGAGGAAAAAGCCTTTGGGTTCTAACATATTTTAATGTGGCAATTTCTTTGAAAGATATTTAGTAATATAACTTCCTTGTAATAAAAGAGTCTTTTTAAGATATGTAGAATGGGCAAATCATATGTATTCACAGCAGTGCATTTAGTTTATTCATGTGAAAACAGGCCATATGCAATGCATGGCTGTCAGGCTTAACAAGTAACCATAATCACATCATTAAACCATTAAATGTAAAATATGCTCATACGCCTGTGATGGAAAAATTGTATGTTGTAAATGTAATGTTGCAGATTATGCAACTGCAATATTTCATTATATTTTTTTTATGTGTCAACACTTTTGATACCTTATAGCAATCCGGGCAATTTAACATGTACACCTACAAAACATGTCCTCATAAAAGTAATGAGAATTTACTTGGAAATTGTGATGAAAAGACAAAGCTGTGGTGTACCCAATAGGGTTGTGCAATTAATCGCATGCGATTGTCATGCGCATCTCGTCAGTAAAGCCGGTCCCGTGATTAGTAGTAAATCTCCATCACCTGCTTTCAGATGGAGCGGCATGCACTACACAGAGCCGTAGTTCACTGACAAGCTAGGCGATATCGCTTTCATAATTGAATGCGATTCATCTGCAATTATGAATGATCTGCAATTATGAAACGAATCAAATTATGAACAATTATGAATTATGAACTAATTGTCAGTGAACTACGGCTCTGTGTAGTGCATGCCGCTCCATCTGAAAGCAGGTGATGGTGATTTACTACTAATCATGGAACCGGCTTTACTGACGAGATGCGCATGACAATCGCATGCGATTAATTGCACAGCCCTAGTACCCAAAGGTAAAAAAGCTAAAATATACATATTTGTACCTAATTTACCCCTAAATTGTACATATTAGTACTTTTTTAAAGGGTACCCTTTCTTTGTGAGTGTATCAATATTGGGTTTATTTTCAGCATCTTAAGGGTTTATTTTTGTTATGCAATATTTTTTATCTCTATCTATCTATCTATCTATCTATCTCATGTATTGACATGGACAATATACAGAAGGAACGTGACAAAGTGCAAATTAAATTTGAGCATCACAATTTCTACTATACAACTAGAGATAACTCTGTCCATTGAATAATTTCTCCATCACACATGATGACTGTATGGCTTTTAAAGTGATAGCATTTGATACTCTACCCCTGACTGGAACTCTGTATATATGAGCCACTCAAGTCTAGCTAGATGTGATTGCTTCAGGCAGATGAAGATGTTCCCTGTCAATGGCGTTATCATAATGGAGGGGGATTTTCATGGAACGCTGTGAAACCCAGCTGTTTCAGTATCTGTATTAAGTCCCTTAAGGGTGCACAGACTGAGCACTAAACCTACATTCCCTATTGCCTTCATAAACGGAACACAAATGTGCACTGCAATACACCCGAGTTATTATTCTGCTTTATTAGAATACTCTAGATTATTATTCAAGGAATCATGACAGGTATGAAGCCAGTATTATAGCACAGAGGCATACGATATATTAAGATTAAACTGAAATGAACTTTAAATAAAATTAATAAACAAAAAATGACACCACTGTCAAATTACCAAGACCATTGCCTTTAAAGCTATTTAACCACTTTTGAAAGCCTGCACTCATTCTCCATTATAACTGATTGTCCTCTTTAGCTAAAATATTACTATAATGTGATTAAAATCACATAATCCTTGAGGGAGTTGAAGAGCTTTTCTAGACCAAAAAAAATCTAATTTATTTCAATCTCATCTGAGTGAGTTCCTCATGATAAAAACATCACTAATAATCCACAAGTAATCCAAACTCCAGTCCATCAATTAACGCCTTTTGAAGCAAAAAGCTGCATGTTTGAAACAAATCTATCATTAAGGCTTTTTAACTTTAAACCTTCCTCCAGTCAAAAAGTCCAGAGGATCCATTGGTGAGCAAGCGAAGAAATGCTACATTTTGCCAAATCTGTTCTGATGAAGAAACAAAGTCCAAAACCTCCATCATGGATGGCCTGCGAAGGAGAGTAAATTTTCAGCAAAAGTTTTCTAAACAGTTTGCCAAAAACTGGGTAATACGTCAAAGGTAATGAAAACGAATAGTCTACACTTCAACCCCGCAATCATTACACCACTGCATAGCCACAAGCGTAAGTTTTAAAGCACAACATTGGCAGAAGTAACCAGCCGACACACATTAAAGTCATATTAAATGCTTAGTTTGGCAGGTGAAAATTGCTCCCGAGAGAGCGACCCTATTTAGAAACACTATATCTAGATTAGTGATGACAGAATATTGTGAATTATTGCACACAGTTGCACCATAATCAAGTGTTAAATTTATTCAGAGTAACTCTGACTCCAATTTTTGAACTGGTAAATAAAAAAAAGGGGTAAAGAATCTAGGAATTTTCTTCAAATCAAACTAAGCGAATCCAGTGACTGATCCAAATATGGAAAACGGGAACAAAGGGAGATTCATGTTGGGGAGCTGTATGTACTTGTGGTGTTTGCTCATGTCACCCCAGAGCAATATCCAATTCCAGCGACAGGTGTTGACACCTAGATTAACCTTGGTTTGCAGAGAGCCAGGCTGCCGAGAGCTTATTAGAATGCACTGGGGATGAGAGCTCCACTCCAGGGCTGTAACCCTCAGGGGCTTTGCCTGCTGTGTGTGTCTGACAGCTCGACTACATGTCTGCTGTGCGAGTGTGTACCATCTAAAAAGAGGACGTGTGGACTGCGGCAACACCGCATTACTGCACACACAACCGTGCTCGATCATCTTTCAACCCAGTTTCTCCTGCAGGAGGAACTCTTTTCATGTGCACGCGTTCGATCAAACTTAAATATGATTGGGCTAAATCTACATTCTAAGTAAATCACTCACATATGCAAATACATTTAACTATATGTCTATTGTCAGCCATTGGCTTATAAAGTGTTAAATTATAATTGCCAGTGCTTGAGTTTGAAGCTAAGAATAAGTTTATCATATATTTTCAAATCAGTTAGAGTGAACGCAATTAATATTCAATGTGTTTTTTTTTTGTTTTTGTTTTTTCATCAGACCATAGGATGCTTTATACTGTTATTAGACCAATAATGTCTCAAGCTTTATGAAAATGTTTTATATAGAATTGTTCTATCTATACAGTACTTAGTACAATTACACCAGAAGTAAATGTAATTAAATTACAGTAAAACTGAGTAATCCCTTACTTTACTTATCCAAGGGAAAATAATTAAATCACAGTAATCACTTAATGCATTACACCCAATACTGGTGGTGAGTAAACTAGCATAAATCAATAAATAGCCAATTGCGATTCAATTGCCAAGGTGTTATGAATTCTAGAGGGTTATGAATTCTAACTGTATCTCTAATTTTATCATTGCTCATTTGCTAATTGATTAAAAAATAGAAAAAAAAACTCTAACAATGAATTGTCACCAATAGCCTTGTGTGTTTTCACACACTATTTGCAATGTTTGCGCACACAATTATGTGCTGAATGCAATCTGCACAACACACTTCCTGATGTTGCCTGTCGGTTCTGGGTCACTCGGCTCTTT